GGGAGAGGAGAGTTATCGGGCGATAAGACTCCCCTTTGTTGGCGAGTTTCCCAGGTTCAGTAGTGGTATTACTCTTCCGATTTGCCACACATCGGGTATTTGAAGAGTGGTCAGTGGCAGGATGAGGACCTCTTTGAGGTAACTTACTCCCGTTGTTGTCGTTGTAGTTGTTGTAACGGCAGAATTCTGCCGAGTTGACAGTCCTTGGCCGGATAAAAATCCGGGTCCGTTCCGGTTTTCGTAGACCCGACTGTCGTGGGAACGGAACTTACTCCCGTCGAGCCTAGATGCTTTAGCATTAGCATGTAGATTCCATCAGGGCTAATGGATTTGGATGATTTTGCTTTTTTGATGACACTCTGAACCTCTTCGGTGAAAGTAAGGGGCGCGCAGTTGTTTGGCATTTTACGCAGCCGGCGTGTAGCACATCTCTTGGCTTTGTATACCGAAGGGTGCAGTGTAAATTGCCGGCTAAAATAGATCGCGCACTTCTTCGGGTCCGAGGAGGCATGATCATTGAATTGAACTTCAACTCGGTCGTCATGTCTCTTCGGATTAGACAAAGCTTTGACAGTAGCCCAAAGCTTMCTCACACCGGTGGAGAGGTTGCAGGACTTCAGGTGCTCTATCATTTCGTCCGCTTATGGGGGTTTACCATACGCCGAATCTCCAAACTGAGATCCCTTATTCGGGGATTCTCGGGATCGGCATGGTGTAAGGTCTCGCGCTCGTTAGCTAAAACGGCTGCTTCGGCTGGGAGATTGGGGCGGATTTCCGCTATTCTTCCAGTCGGGATGAAGCGAGCGGTAGATGCTGCGATCACCTCGCGGAATTTACGACGAATGAACGAAATCAGGAGGCTTCTCGATCGAGGTATTATGGGCAGATGGTCTGATGCGAAAGTTAGCATAGGTCGCCAGGTTATGCTATTTATCAGACCACCACTAGCAAAGGTAATATAAGGCGAGCTATTACAGGTACCCACAATTCTGGTGGGGGCTTAGTCGTTCATTCTGCAGAATGTCGAATCTTCAATTTGTTCCTCCAGTTCCATCCCCCTATGATCATTTGACAGGCAGGAGTGAAAAAGATCATGGTGCGCGTTAAAGTCGCCTAGTACCAGACCGTTCTCACCAAGAAGTAGCGCACCTATATTCGGGTGATATCCTGTAGGGCAACATGTAACTGGGGGGATGTATATATTAAATATTTCGAGCTCGACGTCGCCTGACCGGATAGCTATTCCCGGACATTCTAGAGTAGTATCCCTGGGGTCGATATCCTCATCGATTAGACGATACTGCACGGTATTGTGCAATATGAAGGCGAGGCCGCCACCATTATCTCACTCGCATGCAAAACGTTGAAACCGGCACAACTCAGAAGATCTGAGCGGCTGTTTAGCTTAGTTTCTTGAACCGCAGCTATCAATACACGTTCTCGATTCATGAGTGCAACTATCTCCTCGATCTTGCTCTGGAGTCCGTTGCAGTTAAAGTGAAGTATCCTGGTTTGTCGCGGATGTTCGTGAGTGATCATGGGGGTGAGGGAGTGACGTGTAGGTGATGTTTATTGCAGCTGCAGAACCCGCAGGGGCGGTTGCTCGGGTGTTGGTTGGCGACGCCACTGTAGTGTGTTGCGGTGGCAGACTCCTGCAGCATGGGGTAACGTAGGATTCACTCCACTCACGTGTGGTGCGCAGGTCGGAACACGCCGGGAAGTGGCACCAGCCAGTGCAGGAATTGCACTTGACTTGTGTAACATTCCGATGTATGACGGTCTGACACACGGAACAGACTGTGCGAGGAACCAAGAGTTGCTGATTGTTT